TTTTCTTTTCTTTTTGCAAGGATAGTTTATGTATAGGGATGTGATAAAAAATTAGATATTTTGCAAGTGAGTTGGGTTAGACTGATTGAATGATAAAATTGACTGATAAATTTTTTTATTTTATTTTATTTTATTTATTGGGCTGTGTTATTTATTTTTATTTTTTTTAAAGGTAGTCATATGTAGGGGTGTGTCAAAAAATTAGACATCCTGCACCAACTCATCATACAAAATTATATGGAATTAATAAATTTTAACCAGCAGTGATCAATCAATTAGGTTAGACTGGTTGAGTGATAAAATTGACTGATCCAAAATTGACTGATCAATTTATTAATTTTATATATTTTTATACGATGAACTGGTACGAAATATTTAATTTTTTTGATACATTCCTACATATAACCACCATAAAAAAATAAAATAAACAAAAAAAATAATACACAAAGTCAAAAAAAAAAAAAAAAAAGAAAAAAGAAAAAAAAAAGGCACTTTCGAGGCAAATTCGAGCCTCGGATTCGAGGCCCCTATCAGCGCTCATATAATAAATAAAATAAATAAATAATTTAGTTTAATCAAAAATTTCAAGCCCAAAAAAAAATCACAACAAGTAAACAAAAAAAAAAAATTGTTGTTGACTGATCAACTGACCGGACGTCCGACCGGTCAACCGGTCAGATCAAATTTTTTTCCCCTCTTTTCTTGAAGGGTCTGGAAGTCAGGGAGGACTTCTGGCTGGACATCCGGGGGGAGTTCCAAGAGGACGTTCGGGGGGACTTCCCCCAGGCAACTCCTCTCTCCCTTCGCTGGCTAAAACGTTCGCTGTAGTTAACACACTTTCTAATATCTAACACTAACAAAGTGTGCTAACGCAGCCCTTAGCAGCTCCATTGCACCACCAAACAACAAACATTGCTAGCCAAAATTTAACAACTGACACTAACAGCTCCGTTAACAGCTCCATTGTGAATGCTCTTACTCCTAGGAAAAGTGTAGTAAAGGAAAATGGAACTTTGTTTCCCATGTGTATTCATTTGTTAGGAAAATGAATGGATTGCTCAGATTCCTGCAAAATCTTTTTTACTTTCTCGCAAACTAAACATGAAAAATATTATGGAAAAATTGATTTTCATGTACTTTACTTTCTTTTCCTACAACTGAATGAGATGGGGCTGAAAAGAAGGTGAAGTACGGGGAAATCAATTTTGCCATAACTATTTTCATGTTCAGTTAACAAGAAAGTTGTGGAACCATCTCTTTAACTTTCCCACTAAGATAATTTTCTTTTCAAAACATGTCTACCAAAAAATACAAGATTTTGTAGGAACGTCAATAATACACTTTTCTTGACAAATGGACCCACAAAAAAAAAGCCTCATTTTCCTTTCCTACACTTTTTTTGGGAACAACTTTCTCATACAAAATTCTAGACAACTAAACGGAACCTAATTGGTGAGAATGTGAGAAAGGGTACTACTGTAATATAAAAAAACTATGTATTCACCCATTGGCGTTGGCAATGGCATTCACTACCTTCACCATAATGTATATTGGCACAATAATTCCAGTAGTTTGCAAAAGCAACAATTGCCATAGAATGTAACAGAGTGAGTTTTATATCACAATGAGTCTCATAATTGTCAATATTCTACTCTGTGTGTGTGTGTGTGTGTGTGTGTTAATATGAACTAAGTATTGTCTTACCAAGAACAACGGAAAAGAGTAGTCCTGTGCTCCATTAACTAATATGGGAAGAGTATGCCGTAAGATCAGAAGAACCATGAATTGCAGACAAGAAATTAGAGAAGCCGTCAAAATGCTAACATCAAAATCATGTAGCCAAGGAGACATATTTCCCAACTTTAGATATTGTTGTGAACAAAATATACACAAGTGCTCACACACCCAGAGAGAGAGAGAGAGAGAGAGATTAATTACAATTGCAGTAGCAGAATGATAGCAAAACTTGCATCTTGATTCAGAAGCAGCATACTCATCATAGTCTAGATCAACAAGATTAGGCTCAGTTGTCACCATAGCTATAAAGCGAGGGTTATTTAGGTCCCTTCTAGAGATCTCCCAATTTCCTTAGATAAAAACATTTGAATCACAAACTAAATCTAACAAAAACATATGAAAATAGAATATTAAAAACGAAAAAAGAAACTTGAATCACAAAAGTACCTAAAGTTCATTGGAATACTCCTAAGTTGAAACATAGGAGGAGGTGTATAGTGATTCCGGTTTTGACCCGACTATTATAAAATCCTGGACTCGGGTTTGATGCTTTCATATTGTTGTTTACCTCTCGTTTCCCTTGTATCCCTTTAGAATTGTCTTTCAGGTTGTTGTTGTGTGTTTGAAATAGGTTGGTTGCTTGTTTGTCCAAACTTTTGTTGCCCAGATTTTGGCTCTTCCGCTCGAGTAGGCATTCTTGTGCTCGAGCGGGCTTCACAAATTTTGCTCCTCCACTTGAGCGAGAATTGTCAACTCTCCGTATTTTTGCAAGTCTGCAAATACTGAGAGAGTGAGTTGGACACTCGAGCGTCTAGTTTCATGCTCAAGTGGGGCCTTTCGTCTACAAAACTTATGGGAGTGCGTATCCTACGCTCGAACGCCACTTTTCACGCTCGAGTGGAACTTTGTGTTTGACGCTCGAGCGGGGCTTTCCACGCTCGAGTGGACTGACGTTTTGTAATTTCAAAATATCATACGTAGAGTATCTTTTCTCAAAATTTATTTGAACAATTTAGGGAAAACCCTTAACCATAAAAAACCATCCTTTTTTATCAGAAAATCAAAAAAAAATCCTTTTTGGAAACAAAAATGTTTAAGGAACTACACTATTTTATATTTATTAACCCATTCCAAAATATTCCTTATTAAATTCCCATCTTAACATTCCTCTTTTTATTCCCATTCTTCCCTTTTACTAGTTACATTTATTAAAACTCCATAACCTCAAATTTATGTTCCCTTAATACCCAAAACGACCCTCATACACTCCATTCCCAGCTGTCAATCTTCTATTGCTATAACTGTCTAACGTAGAAATCCAAGAACAATTACATCACATCCACATTTGCATTTTCAACTATAACTCAACACATCACACGGACAATAAACCCTTTTTAATTTGATTTCTCAATTAATCACAGAGTAAAACTCTTAATCTTTCCTTATAAATACAAACAACCCGGTGAGTTCTTTATCACCAATCCCTTATTCAATTACCATTTCATTATCCATTCTTTTCAAATAATTTCTATATGTATTCCCATTCCATACCAATTTACACATTAAATGGTAATTTCACAATTTCATCACAAGTCACATATATCAACACTGAACTCAACACACTCCATAACACATTCCACCTTTTGCCGGCTTGATACGGCGAGATAGTGGGCACCCAATTCATAGCACATTCCATCTTTTGCCAGCTATTATACGGCGAGAAGTGAACTCCCAAAAATCATTTCTCAAAAATCATATC